GTCCACTACCGAACATTTTTTTAATACTTTTGATATTTTCCGCTAGGTAGCGCCGCCGCGCGCGGTTGAATTAAAAGTTTTTGACCGATTTTGACATGGTCAAAATCTCTCCTGTCAAAATAGGTAAAAATCTCGGTCAATTGACCAGGCACAACCCTAATTATTTGTATTATGCCACCCAAACGAATAGCGATTGGCCGATCTACAGCTCAAGCAAAAAAGAAAAAAGACATCACGAGCTTTAGAAACCGACGAGCAACGGGAAGTAAGATTAGAAATCGTTCGAGTACGCACTTCTTAAGTTCGTTCGTCTGAAACAGACATTCAGCGAGAAGTAAGACTAAACGCCGCTCGAGTACGCATTGCTAAAACCCGTTCATCTGAAGGAGATATTTAGCGGGAGGTAAGACTGGAAACCGCTCGAGTACGCACTATTCGATCTAAACGCTCACTGCTCGCTCTTGGTGCGTTCAATTACAATCCTAATTATGATTACAGTCTTCATCCAAGTGTCAATATTGGAAAAATGGATAAATTATGTATATATTGCAGTGCCCTTAAATTTAAGAACACATCACCAGGAATGTGATGCGCAAGTGGAAAAGTGAAATTACCAGAATTGCATTTGGGTCAGAATTTCTCAAACGGGCCACCTGAATTAGGTCAAAATTAGTCTATGATTGTAGTTACATGTTTTCGATAGTATTTTACATCAGTAACACAAATCCAAAAGAATTTTGTAAAAAAAAAATGTCAAAGTTTTTAGTTATTAAAAAATAAAACAATTAATAATTATTGTGGCTGAACTAATTATCCGATTCCAACGATATAACTAGCGTTGGGATCTTGTTTTTACATAGATTCTTTGTTATTTTTTCAATTGTACAATTTGCATTTAAATAGATTTTTTTGTTTTTTTATAACAAATACGAAAATAATTGGCTTCTGCACATATACTCCAATTATTTCTCGAAATTATGCTGCTGAGAAAAAAAAAATAGCCCGCAGTTTGACAAAAAGTTATTCGTCCGCTCACGCTCCGAACCGTGTATGCTGTACGCTGGTCTGGAATGGTACTTTTTTAATCAAAATTAATTTGTGACCTTAACAATCGACTTGGAGCCTTGTTTTTTTGTATTTTATACAGAAATAAATATAAACAAAAATAATTTTCAATTTTATTTTCATTTATTTTATAAGGCGCCAAACTAAAAATTAAATTTTTCTGGGTACTTTCTTTAGCAACATAAAAAATCCGAGATGTAGACAAAAAATATGTACGAATATCTATATAATATATAGTAAGTAGGTATATCCTACTTTTCTGTCAAATTTACTACTTCTTCTTGATTTAGTTTCTTACTTTCTTTTAAAAACTAAAGTTATATTTTGTTATCGTAATAATTTTTTTAAATTGACTAAATCAAAATATTTAATTTATTCTATATTTAGCTCGGTCACATAAAATAAGTAATATCTAATAATAATAAACAAAACAAAAACAAAATAATGCCTTAACCAAATACCTGCTGCAATCCTCTCGAAAAAAGAAATCAAAGTCGTGTTTACAGAAACATTAAATTGGTAAATACAAATTGCGATTTATGTAGGCAATCGGTCCTAAAATCGAATTCACTTCATCAGAATATTTTGGTAGCAAAAATAAACGAAGAAAACAAACATACAAAGAAAGAAGACCATTATACTAATAGTGCTTTAAGTTCTGATGTGTGAATTGTGAACTGAAAGATCCCTCATATCAAGAAAATTAAAAAAAAAATCAGCCATCGGTTTTCAAAAAGATGCCAAAGCTAAACGAAAGAAATTCATTGATGTTCAAAAGCAAACTCCTTGGAATGATATTAAAATCGCGCTTTCCAAAGTGAGTTCTAACTGTAAAAAGTACAAATTACTCAAACTTTGCCGTTGGATTGGAGTGTAAGAAAAATACAAGAGTTAAATGTTTCCCGCCGAATGGCTTCAAATGCGAAAAAATTAAGACAAACTAGTGGTTACCGAGCTACTCCTAAAAAAAGAACTGGTCGACCATTACCAAATAACGTTGTAGAGGAAGTAGAGAATATTTACATATCGGATCAATGAAGTCGTCTTATGCCAGGTCGAAAACACTACGTTAAGATTGTGAAAAACGGTGTTCGTGAGCAGGTGCAGAAGAGATTGCACAATATAAATGAATTACACGAAAAATTCAAATTGAAAAAACCCAAATGATTTTATAGGTTGGCTACTTTAAACAGCATACTAGTAAAATAATATTTTGCATATTGGTTTTATTTTTCTAGTACTTACGAGACTTTTCTGGCAATAACTTTTGTTTGACGCCAAAGAAAATCCATTTTTTCTTATTTAACATTAACAGCCGCTTATTGTAAATAAGAAAATTAAGGACGCCATGGCGAATCGATTTTTACTTTAACCCTTCAAACCAATGACTGTGATACAAACTATCTAAAGTAAAATTCGACCAAATTAAATATAAGGTATAAAATTATTTTTTTTATATAGAATTTTTGCAAAATAGATAAAATAGCATAAAGAACTCAAGTCATAAGACCTTTTGTCGCACTCGTCCATTACAAAACTCGCTCCATCGTCGCTCGTTTTATAAATTGTCCTCGTGCGACAAAATGACGTCTTATGACATTAGTTCTTTAATATACTATTATTAAACAGTTCAATAATCATGACATGGAGAAAATTACTTACAAATCATGGAAAAAGACAGACAGGTAAGAAATGAGTTTAGCGTCATTTTGAATGTTAAGTATCAAATGAATATTTTAAGTCGACCTTTGTTGTTATGTCTTTTCTGATTATGAAATACAGTGTTATTGCACGTTCATGTAATAATTTTTTCATTATTATTTTTTTCGATTTTCTAAAGGATTTAGAAATTGAATTGCCACTTTGCAACATGACCACATCGCAAAATCTAAATCGACTTTTTTTAATCAGGCGAAGAAAAATGTTCAAGGAGAATTTATTATTAGTCTTAATTTTGCTGAAAATTTTTCATTTTTTATTCAAGATTCTGTTTAAGCGCACTATTGGTGCAACAAGCAAGTTACTCTTCACCCTTATATTATTTATTTTAAGGAAAATAACAAAACAATGCACCATAGTTTTGTGATAATATCCGAGTGTAATCAGGCGAAGAAAAATGTTCAAGGAGAATTTATTATTAGTCTTAATTTTGCTGAAAATGTTTCATTTTTTATTCAAGATTCTGTTTAAGCGCACCATTGGTTCAACAAGCAAGTTACTCTTCACCCTTATATTATTTATTTTAAGGAAAATAACAAAACAATGCACCATAGTTTTGTGATAATATCCGAGTGTAACAAACATGACTCTGTGGCAGTTAATTTGTATAACAGAAAAATTATTCAATATTTGATTGATATTCATGGAAAATATAATAATCGCAAAATGATTTTTTTTTCGATGGTGCAGCGTCTTAGTACAAAAAAAACTGGCATAAAAGTGCAATGACGGAATCGGTGGAACAGTCAAAATAAATGCTTATCGATCAAGTTTGCAGAGACCCGTAAACTCACAAATGGGGTAGTTAAATTTTTTCTGACCTATACTTTTTATGGTTTTATTCAAGGCGTTTTGTAATATTAAACATTTCTGTGAAATCAGAATTTCAATTGAGTTTACCGTTTTCGAGATATTTACAAAAAATATAAATTTTTATGACGTCACAAACCTCGCCATGTGACAAACATTCTAAGATTTCTATTGGTTGAAAATTACCCTGTTGTCAAGTTGTCTTGTTAATGATTTCATTCGGTTATGTCAGAAAATACCCGAAGAGGTTATGTACAAATACTGTCACTGTCAGTTAAGTGAAAGATGGTCACCAAATTCATTAAGTACCTATCTTCCTTATTACGAGGTATCATATTACTGTTTGATATTTTAGAGTCCAAGATATATCTAAAAGAATATAAAGAACTAGGTATTATACTAATGAAATGCATTTACGACAAAATATGATTATAATTATAGGTACTTACTTTATTTGTTTAAAAGCTCCAATGTTCAATGTAACCAACCATTCCACAAGATTCCTCTGCTTTGGAGTCCGTTATTAATAAATCACTTATGTAATATCAATTACAAATAACATAACAATAACATTGATTTTCAATAATCTAAATTTAAAAAAAACATAACCCGAAAAAAAGAAACGTCAAAAAATCAATTCTTCTTCTTCTTCTCAACTAAAATTATAGATCAAGTGGTTTTAAAACTAAAATTTTATAACGTGGCGCCATCTATCGTAAGAATCTTAAACTAAACACACTGGCAACCATAGAAAAAGCTGGCAACGTTGTCAATAGCCTAGTGACGTAATTAGGAGTTTTTTTTTGTAAATATCTCGAAAACGGTAAACTCAATTGAAATTCCGATTTCACAGAAATGTTTAAAATTACAAAACGCCTTGAATAAAACCATAAAAAGTATAGGTCAGAAAAAATTTAACTACCCCATTACGACGCCCCAACATTTTTTTGGCTAGGCTAACAATTTAAAAAAAATTCTTTTGATTTCTGCACTTCATCCGAATACGACACTGGGCAAAAAAAATCCCGTCTTTAAAAAGCCATCATCCCGATTCAAAATACAAGAAATTATCATTCATTCCAACCAGCCGCAAAACCAAAACATGTTCTTTGTAAAAATATTTAATCTATCGACTAAAGCAATTTGTACAAAATTGAAATGTAAAATATTATGCAGAAGTCAAATTAAATTATTATTTTCGTACTAATTTTTTTTTACATTACATTATTTTTATTTTTAACCATCATCTAAGATCATGGTATGAATTATATAACTGGCTTTTTAAAATCGAGAAAGTGTCACTTTTCCTGCTGTCCAGGCAGGCAATAATGTCACTTTTTAGATTAGAACAGAATTTTCTTTGCTTTTTAGGCGCTGTTACTACATATTTTATAATTTAAATTTATCTAATCTATGACCGAGCTCCATATAGAAAAAAGATACACAAATATATACAGATTTTTCTTTAGGGCTGTGGGGGGGTCTTTGGTGCAATTCACGAAGGATTTCACTTGACCAGTAACGAAAATTTTGCTTGTGCCGCAAAGATGAAAATGTGCCTCGTCGCTAGTCCACACAATAGTGCCAGGAGGTAGACCTGTTAGGATTGCATTGCAAGCATCTCTACGCGTTACGCAATCTTGGGGGCTCAATTCCTGAGCAATCATAAGCTTGTAGGGGTGTAATTTAAGGTCTGTTTGTAAAATTCGCCTCACTGTTTTTCGACGATATTCTAAGGGCAGCAGCATGTTTCCACACAGAACGCAGTGTTCGATAGACCGTCTTACTGCCCTGATATTTTCGGGAGTTCTTACATTTTTAGGTCGCCCTGCAGGTTTTTTAGGAATTGCAGATCCCGTCGTCCTTACATTAACGATCCATTTCCTAATGGTTTTAGGGTCAGGAACACTGTCTTGAGGATTTAATCCGAACCGTCTGCGAAAGGCCCTCTGCGTCGCCACCACACTTTCCCCGTTTTTAAAGAATGTCTCCACAACAAAACCCCGTTGCTCACCCGACCACTGCATGGTGACTCTTAAAAATGGCATGGTTTCCCCTTCCTAACGGTACCTGCCACACCCCTCTACCTGGTCTAGCGCCTCTTCAGTGAATTTTTAAAACTAGGGACTCCATTATGCCCCACCCTGAATATTACCACTAGCTAACGAAGATTACAAATTCCTTTAAATTTATTTTTATAGGAAACACTGATAAACAAATCGATCAACGTTGTCTATTTAATACGGGCACTATACGAGAAATTGTAGCTGCTTCACAAAACTTAGTTGATCAACATAACGAATTAATTCGATTGTTCAAAATTGCCCTTAAAAAATGTCTACTGTTAACTACAAGGTTATAATTAGAGCAGCCAAAACATCTGTTGGCCAACACGAACGACAATACAACGCACCAAACTCGCGTCGTCATCGCAGAAATGATGATGTTCAACAAATCTCAGAAACTCATCGCTCATACGACAATATCCGATTTTATGCTGGCAAGGAGAAGATGAATACGATTTCAACATCAAATTGAGAAATCCACAAACAGGCCAGGAAACAGATACGAAAGTTAGTGCTATGAATTACTATTCATAACCGATTAATGATTCGTGACAACATTGAAAATCATATCTTGAAATGTCGACAATTGTTTTACCATTACATTGGAGATATGTACGCTAAAATTGAAACGGAACGACTCCTCTACATTCGATTAAATCAAACCAAGTTGCGTTGCGAAGAGTACATGAATTTAAGTGATGCAGTTGTTAACGATGGTTATGTAAATCCCAAGGAATTGGGAAAAATGATTATATTACCGTCTACATTTACAGGGAGTCCACGGCACATGCATCCACATCCACAAAATGCAATTACATATGTTCCCGTATATGGCCGTACATTTACAGGTAATCCAATGTAGGATGAAATAACAGAACTTGTGTACTTGTGCACGTGTATTCAAACAAAAATTGAAATTTTTAATGGATTTCATTATCAAGTGTCATGTTTTTGAAGATACACGCTGTTAGATATATTCTATTGAATGGCAAAAGAGAGGATTGCCACTGGCAACGACTTTATCAATTACTTTAAAAGTACGAAATATTGATCTTGAAGTCGATAATCGTTGGGTTGAATCGAAAACGTACAAAGCACACATTAATGTTGAATATTGCAATTCATTCAAATCGATAAAGTATATCTGTAAATATGTCAACAAAGGAAGCAATATGGCAGTTTTTGGAATGGTAAATGCAACCGCATCTATTAATGAAATCGACCAGTTGAGGCGCTACATTAGTAGCAATGAAGCAATATGGCAGCAAACAATGTTAACTGCATTTTTCTCTATGTGTAGGGATGACATGTTTGCAAAAACACTACTTTACTCTGAAGTGCCAACATACTACACATGAAATAATTCAGCGAAAAAGTTGTAACGTCGCAAACAAGGTAAAGTAGTTGACATCCCATATTCGACCGACGCGTTAGGCCGTCCGTCACTGTTCACCAAAACAATGCAGAATGCTTTACTTGCGATTACTGTTAATCAACGTACGTGGACCGACATCTATCCAAAAATTTTAAACAGTAAAGAGTAAAGTATGTGCCACTCATCGTGAAGCTTGCCAAGAATTGAATCTCCTAGAAAACGATGTACATTGGGACACTTCAATCGCTGATGCATCGTATACTGCTTCACCATAGCAAATACGCACGTTATTTGCAATTCCCATCTAATCCAAAAGATCTTTGGAAAAACATCCTTCATCGTTTGCGTTCAACGAATCAAAATCAGAACATTCAGTTCCCATCAAACGTTTATAGTGACGCATTGTATTTGATTGAGGACATATCGCACATGGGCGACAACAGTGTCATAAGTCAAGAAAACTAAATTTTGGGGTTTTTAGTGCAATAGGTGTAAAATTACTCATAGTTTATACTAAAACAGTGGCATAAAAATATCTACCAGAAGTAAAAAGGGTGCAAATTGCGTGTTGCACCTCCTCCTGGATTAAATCCCAAAGTGCTCTAGCTGTGAAAAAGAGTGCGAGGAATAATTTCACAACACCTGCCTGTCAATGCACCTGAAGTCCAAGTAAAGTCAACCTACCAAAATTGGATGACCAACTACTAAATTTTAGTGCGAAATTCGCAACCTTAACTTAAAAAGAATTCCACCAGGTAAAAATTAATTAGTTGCAAACAGTTTCCATAAGAACATCAAGATAAAGAACTCATGAACAAAGACAGGATTTTAGGCCCTTCAAAATTGGAAATTAGGACGCATAAATAGGCAATAAAAATGTACATTTTTGGCCGTTTTAGGCTTGGGGTTAAATTAGGGTTAAACCCCAATTGAATAGGGTAATTACTAAATACCTGGTTTAGGGGGACTCCGGATTGTACTAGTTATGGGTCAGTTTATTGTCCCTCAAAAACCAAAATGTTTTTCCTCCTTTTCCGCACTCCACTAGCTTAAATCGAGCATATGGCCCGGCCCGAGTGACCTTAACCATCGACACTGTCATCCACGACCTCCTAGGTGAGATTTACCAGCCGGGGTGAAGGAGGTAATGGTGTGCAGTGGCGGGATATATCCGTAAACGTATACGTAGGAGAATTGAAAGGCGGTAAAATAACCCTGGGGAATCAGTGTAATGCGTTGCCAATGGGGCCACTCATACGATCTTCATATTAATAATCAACAATAAAAAAATGAATAAATAAAAAATTGCTCGACACATAAATTTATATCAATACAGACATATCTGCAAAATTCATGCACATATTTTCAGCAACACAGACATATCTACAAAACAAAAAGAGTATTTTCTATAATCTAATTTTTAACTGGCTCAGAATCTTGGTGTGGTTCTTCCTTTGCAAAGAAAAAGCTGTAAGTAAATATAATTTTACAAATATGTGAGAATTTGATTATTAAAAAATCTTTGACGGTCATTATCTCGGAATTACGGTTTAACTACTTATGACACTGTTGTCGCCCATGTGCGATATGTAACGAGAAACACACTTTAATGTTGACGAATTGGTTACATTTGTACAAATGAATCTTCTGAAATTGGTTCCAGAACGTATAGCTTATATACAAAGTTTATATTCAAAAGTGCCCTTTTAGTTCCACCCTTACTTCCTAAGAAGACCCAGAAGCCAACTGAATGGCTTGAGAGGGCTAGGGGTAGGAACAGACCGCGGGCTTAAATTCCCCTCCGAAGGACTAATATACAATAGGACAAACACAAACAAACAGCCACACCCCTGGTGGGATTCGAACCTACGACCTCTCGGCTAGTAGTCAGCAGCACTAACCACTAGTCCACCGTCGGCGGTATGCAAAGCGTATGAAAGAACTATGCATGCGATTACAAACGAAAGCGGTGGATTTTATTTTCTAGATGCGCCCGGAGGCACAGCACAAAATATTGCACTGGAATTGCGGCAACCCTTTTGGATGGTGGTCGAACAGCACATTCTGCTCTAAATTGCCATTGAATATCCAGATTCCTGAGACACCGACATGCAATATCAGGAAACATTCTGGAATGGGTACTCCAATCAAGTTAACTCATTATATGGGACGAATGTACTATGGTCCACAAAAAATCATTAGAAGCGCTTCATCGTACACTACAAGATTTGAGAAGGAATGAACAACTCTTTGGTGGCGCAGTCATTTTATTGTCTGGTGATTTTCGAAAAACTCTGTCCATTATGAAAGTCTGAATATTCTGTGCAATCATTGCAAAAAGAATGTAAAAGATTACGTAGTGTGTCCCAAATGTGAGGTTAATTCCACCCAAGTTGTTTTACTCAAGCAAACTCTTTGAAAAATCCAAAGTGCGTCCATGTGGCAAGTGTAGAGGTTATCTGTGAAAAGAAGGCAGTAGATAGCAATGTAGTGATGGAAAATACTCTTTTAAGAAAGATTATTAACGAACTTGAGGAAAAAAAATGAATTATTGGAAGAAAATGTGAAACTCTTAAAGGAAAAAAAAATCATTTTTATTGAAAATCTTTAAAAGATGGATGGATGGAAATCCTTAAGAGATGGCGCAGATGAAGCCCTCTCTGCAATCGAATCTAACTACCAAGTTGGCAACATTGGTGGAAGATGGTAGTTCATATGCCGAATAAACAGCATGTAAATAAAGAAAAAGAAGAAGTGATCCCAGTAACTAACCTCAATAAGCAAATCTCAGATACGGTAACAAAATTCTTCAATAAAAACAAGGATATAGATGCTAACTCATGGGAAACAGTCACTAAGAAAAACATAAACCTAAAAGACTAGAGGCAGCAAAAAGCAGTGGAACAGGATTATTCTCAGGGATTGAAAGACGTATCTGGTTATACTTAAATAGTGTTTATAATAATGCTAGAGCAAATGAAATAAAAGATTATATTCAAAAGAAGCCAGGATTTGAAAATATTACAATTGAAGTGACAGAACTTGAGATGTATGATCCCAGCTTTTGGCCTAGTAATTCCAGTATAAAAAGATTCATATTTGATTTGATGATTTTTTAAACAAACAAACAGGTACTTTTTATAAAAAAGCAAATTCACCACCTAACCTCAAAAATTTTCTAAATGTTTGTCAGGTTAATATAATCGTTACTGTCACAGATTATAAAGGTTACTGTCATGTTTTTCAGACTTTACTAATTATATAACAGCAGAAGATGTATTTAATTGGAATAACTGAAACTTGGTTGCTGGCTGATATACCTGACAATTATGATATTATTGATGGCTACAAACTTTTTCGTAAGGATAGAGGTTTAAGTGGAGTGTGCTGGTATGTGCGAAATAATTTAATTTCACAACAAATCGACATGGATTTTTTATATCAGAAGAAATTGGAGCAACTATGGATAAAAGTATGTATTAACAAACTTAATCATGCATTCGCCGTAGTCTACAGACCACCTGATACATCTGTCAGTCTAGATGACCTGGATAAAGCTTTAAAAATAATGTATCCGAAATATGATTATGTTATTATTCGTAGGAGATTTTAATATTAAACCTGCTCCAAAGGTCTCCCATAAAAAATGAATTTTAAAATATACTAGATATACAGGGTGAGTCAGAAGCAGGTGCATTAATTTAAGGAGGTGATTCTACAGATTATTTTGAGTTGTTTGAACCCCATATTGCCTTACCCAAAAGTTATTATATTTGGAGTTATTTGATTTTTTGTAGTTTTGGTAAAAAATCGTGTCCAGGTTTACATTTATCAAGTAAGGTTCCCACAAAAACGCGTTCCTAATAAAAGAGTATTCAGTACAACATATCGTCGTATAGCTGAAACCGGCACTGTTATACCAAGACCAACTACAAGCACAAGAAAAGTAGCTTCTGAGTTGGGTTTAATACAAAGCAAGGTTGCTCGTGTAATGAAACGTTCAGGCCAGCATTTCATTATACACCTTTCCAGGGTCTAGAGGAAGGTGATCCCCAACGAAGAATCAGCTTTTGCAGATATTTATTAAATGCAGATATTGATAATCCCAGGTTCTTGTCTAGAATTTTGTGGACTGATGAGTCTAAATTTAGTAGATAAAGTATTACTAACTTTCACAATTTACACTTCTGGGCACAGGATAATCCACATAAGAAAAGAATAATATAGTTTCAAAGAAAATTTAGTGTAAATGTGTGGATGAGTGTAATTGGAAGTACATTGATCGGTCCTCACTTTTTGCCAGATAATTTGAATGGTGTAGCTTATGGGGAATTTTGAATAACGTATTGCCAGAATTAATGGATGATGTTCCATTAGCAAATGGGATTGAAATGTTTTTCCAACACGATGGATGCCCAGCTCATTATAGCATCAATGTTCGGCGGTTTCTAGATCAGAGGTTTCCAAATCGTTGGATTGGTAGGGGGGACCAATATTATGGCCACCAAGGAGCCCTGATTTAACACCTTTAGATTTTTATGTGTGGGGGCACATGAAAGAAAAGGTCTATGCAGTTGAAATATTAAACAGAAACAAGTTAATGGAAAGGATACAATACGCGGCATTAGAATTAAGAAACAACTTAGATAATCGACTTACTCGCGGTGAAATCAGAAAAAGAGCACAAGCTTGCATTATAAATGATGGCGTACACTTTGAGAATTTTCTGTAGACCTTTATTTAGTAATATTTTAATAAATAAATGTTAACTTAACACTCTAGTATTTTACTTACTACTAATCGTGAATTGTTAGCGTAAACTAAAACCGGTGTGTGTTTTACAAAGGTGACATTTTCTACCTAAAAATAATAGTTTTTATTGGCATATTATACATCATTCGAAAGGTAATACCTTAAGAAAGTTTTTTAAACAATTTGCACGCAAAGTGTATAGTGAAATTTAAAAAAAAATCCTGATGAACTTAACAAGTCTTCCAAATTCCAAAATTTTATTTTATACTGTTGTTCTGAATTTCCATATGGTTTTTTTGGAAAAACTATTACTATGTGGCATGTACCAATGTATGGGCTAACTACTAAAAAAAGAATCGTTTAATTAACTTTAATTCTTATCGAGAATTTTTCAAAAATGTAATCCTGGACACGATTTTTTACCAAAATCACAAAAAATCAAATAACTCCAAAACTAATAACTTTTGGATAAGGCAATATGGGGTTCAAACGACTCAAAATAATCTGTAGAATCACCTCCTTAAATTAATGCACCTATTTCTGACTCACCCTGTATATAGTTTAAAACAAATTATACAAAAAACCACCAGAATCACAGATCATCACAAACCTTAATTGATCTAACATGCTGTAATAAGAATATAGAACATCAGGAAGTTAAAATAAGAGATTTACTAAATCTAACTGATCATCAACTTGTGGGATGCAAGTTAAATATTTTAATTATGAAGGAAAAACCTGGGAAAATATGCTCCAGAGATTTTAAAAACATAAACATGGAAAATTTCAGCAGAGATGCCTCTATTATCAATTTGGATGCAATTTACCAAGAATGTGATATTAATAATAAGGTAGAGTTTATGAACAATGCATTAAAATCTCTATTGGATATGTATGCCCCATTTAAAACATTTAAATCCATACATGACTTATAACATTATTCAGCTGTGCAAAATTAAATGTGCTGCATACAAGTATCAACGTACTAAATCATTTTGAATATTACAAACAAATAAGAAATTACCTAACTGGTGCATTAAGGAGAGAAAAAAAAGCTTATATTCATCACCAAGTCAACTGCAATATACAAAACTCCAGTAAACTATGGAAATCACTGGATCAACTAAATATTCATAAACGTAATAATACCATCACTTTCCCTATTTTAACTGATCCTGAAGAATTAAACAACTATTTTATTGACTTAATGCCTAGTCCAACTATAGATAATAAGCTTTTAAATTTTTACTATGATAATGTGAAGTCTGACTGTACTCAATGTTTTAAGTTAGTGAAAGTAGATGGGTCCCAAGTTCTAAAATTCTTTAAAAATATATTGACCAATGCTGAGGGAAGTGATTGTATAAGTCTAAAAGCCTTGAAACTTTTAATGCCATATTGCTTTGGAACATTGACTCATTTGATAAAAAACTCATAATAAATGGAATTGTTCCTGATTCATGTAAAATTGCAAAAATTAAACCAATTCCCAAAAAATTAGAGCCAGAATTGCATACTAATTTAAGATCAATCAGACCAAGAAAAAATTGTCCATGAACAAACTGTGCAGTATGCCAATAAGTACATCCTTCCCTCAACACAATTGGGTTTCCGCCAATCTCATAGTACTATAATATAGTACTAATACTATTAAAAATTACAAATGACTTTGTTAGAGCTATACATAATTCTGAGATTACTTTATTGGTACTACTGGACTATAGCAAGGCTTTTGATGTGGCCAATCATAATTTGCTTTTGGCCAAACTTCATTATTACACTTTTGATATGAAGGTGATAAACTGGTTCTGTGATTATCTCAACAACCGAGCCCAATATGTAGAAATTAATGGCAAAGTTTCGTCTTGTCGAACCTTGTCTAAGGGAGTTCCGCAGGGAAGTATACTGGGTCCCTTACTCTTTTCAATATTTAATGCTGATTTGTGTGAAAGGATAAAATATTATTAAGTGCATCAGTAGGCAGATGATACACAAATCTACATATCAAGTAATCCAGCCTCTATCAACTCTGTAGTGACACTATTAAATGAAGAAATTCAACAAATTAGTCTGTGGTCCTCCAGAAATGGTCTTTGAAATATCTTAGTTAGTATGCATTTTAATATTCTATTTACACTGCTCTGGGATATTCCAAAATCTCTAGATAATTCTCGTGTGCTTGCATGAGGATTAGCGGCCGTTGCTGCTAATACATTAATTTAATTATTTCCACCTGTGATTGTTGCTCGACGAACTCTTTTTTTTCGGTTGAACACTCTTGTTTGTGGTAAAAGCCTTGACTGTACGGTGAAATGAAGTACGTGATCGATTTTTTTCCGGAAAACGCTGAGCGTAGATATTAACAGCATCATCAAGATTCCTGCCTGCTTCTCCATAAATCAAAATCATTTCTATTTTTTCATCCACTGTTAAAAAATCCATTATGAATAACTGCTTAACGAAAGGAAGTCTTTTTGTTTGCAAATTAAT